ACAACCATAACAATTTTATTTTTTTTCACAAAAGTCAAAAAAATAAAAAATTTCATCCCAAACGAGGCTTTTTAGCCCACAGTCAAAAAATAAAAAAAGCAACCCACATCCCAAACGAATCCTAAAAAATTATTATAAGTTATCATACAATTATTTATATTTTTGTATTTTTTCTATAAAATTAGAATGTCAGTAAAATAATTAATTCTCAAACAAGTCTGGTTTAGGATGATGAATAAGTCAAACGAGTTGAGCATTTAATTGTTCCAGTTAAAAAATTTAAAGAGTTATAAAATTTGTTTAAACATGATCGCTTAAATTTTCGAACCAATCTCAAATAATCTTTGGTTGAGTTGACCTCGAGAAGTTTGGTATTTTTATATAACTTTTGGTTACTTAAACCGAGTTGTATGAGCAATTGACTACTTAAATTTGGTTTTAAAATTTTAATAAGTTTTAAAATATATTCAAGATTTGTTTATTTATTTAACAAATTGAGTTTGAATGAATTTTTAACAAGTAAACTCAAATTGTTTAGTTCATTTAGCATTCTTATCCATGGCATCATTTTGCTTGTTTTTTTGTTTTCCAAAAACACTTTTCAGAAATTATACTTTTTTATTTTTCGTGTTTTTTTTTTTGTTTTTATTGAATTTTTAAAATATTTTAAGCAAGTTTTTTAATTTTTAAACACACCTAACATAAATACACATAAAAAGTATAATTTTTGTGAAAAAAATCTTTTGAAAATTCACTAAATACTACAAAATACAACAACAAAAAAAAAACGAGAATTTAGTATATTTTTCTTATTTTATGTATTTATTAATTTTTTAAAATATTTTTTCATAATTTTTTTACTTTTTAGATACATCTAAGTAAGGTGCATCTAAAAAAGTAAAACAAAAATTATTTAAAATTTTTAAAATATTCACTAAAAACAAAAAAACATGAAAAATAAAAACTTAATTTTCAAAAAATTTAATCTAAAAAACTCAAACCAAACATTTTTTTCTTCATTTTTTTTTTGTTTTTTATTGTTCCTACAGAAAATGTGTATTAGTAAAAATATAAAAACACCCAAGAATGAATCATAAGCAAAATTCACAAAATACATTTAGGCGAGTCATCATTTTATCTTTCAGTTATCTAAAAATGTTGAATAAGCTTCGTCTCACTCATAAATGAGTTTTTCACTATGTGTTGTTAGTTGAAACCCGTGAATAATCGCTTAGGTTGCGTTTGGTAGAGTTTTATAAATATAATTTGAGAGTATGAGTTGTATTTTGAGTTTATGAGTTGTAGAATTATGATTTCATCGGGGCGGAGATCGGGGCTGAAACAGATATCCCCGTCCCCGGCCCGAATTTCATCGGGAATTCAATTTTTAATACCATCCCCGGCCCGTCGGGGGTATTTTTCGGGAAATAACCGCTCAATTCGGGGTCGGGGGATCGGGTCCCCGTCGGGTCGATTTCCGATTGCCATCTCTACTTCACCATAATCTTTGACACAACTAAACAAACACTTTCGTGTGGCGAAATCACACCGTAGAGATTGCAAGAGAGACTTTGCGAACCTTATTGTTCTTGCAAAACCTCACACACCGTTAGTGTTGCCTGATCAGTGGTTGAGCAGCCAGAAGACACTTCGATGATTAAGCAATTGGGTTACCTGCAGAGAAGAGATGGATAACAAGAAGGTTCCTAGGCAATGGGAGTGGTTAGCCTACCCCTACCTCGCATAGGAACAACCTCTTTATATATAGTTTTTTTTAGTGACTTTCAAAAAACACAAAACTTGATTAGGCACATTCTGGCCTCATCCCCTTTAGTAACCCACCTCATTTGTACAGGAAGAGTCCCACTCCTTGGGAATGTTCTTATTCTTTTCTTTTTTTTTTCATCGGCAAATGTTAGTTGTTAGATTAATACCTATGGGAGAAAATCTCCCCATCCATGGCAAAACACCTGAGTGCTTGCACTCCTTTCATTCAATCCCTTAAAGGGAATTGAACCCATGACCTCCTTGGGACTAAGCCCTAAGAAAGGCATGGTAGCCAACTAGGCTAGGCCTAGTTGGTTAATGTTCTTATTCTTCTTGACCATAGTATGCAAACACAGACCAAGTGTTGGGCTACCACACAATCACATCCCATTTGGTCGGGGCCTTATATTTCTTCTTCTTGATTATGTAGCCTCCTCTCACAACTTTATTCGTCATACCTTTCCATCCGGGGCCATACAAGGTTTTCAGCCAAAGGCCAACATGAATGTTCCTTCTCACCACAGTTGAAAACACAGCAACTATTTTACTTAAAACTTGTCAATCTTTACATACATTCACAATTTAACTACTTTAACCTTATAAACATCATGTTTATCTGTCTGCCAGAAACCATACTATGCATTGGATTTATTAGGAAGCAACAGCAATGAGATAGTGTCAAGATGTTGTATCACATACAAAGAGCCATCTCACCATTTGAGGTCAAGTGTAGCTAAAAGCTTGCCACTGCACATTGATAAAAATTTATAGTTAAGCTAACAAGCTATGGGTTGAAACAACAATTTTGTGGTGTCAAATTCAACCAACTAGTTTCAGTAGTTTACCAAAACTACTTTAGGATTTTAAAATAATGACCTCAATCACTAGTTTAAATGAATTCAACGATCCTAGCAACCATATCATCATAATTAGCTTGAAGAAATGTAGAGTTCACCACCTTCCTCATCTTCATCTCCCCTTCTATATTGTTGTAAATGACGCAAACAACAAAACAAAACAAAAAATGAGGAAAAAGATAATTTATAGTGAACCAGCTATTGTTTGACATCACAACAGTTGACACAAGTCCTCAAATATGAACATTTATTTTGAATTTGAAAACAATGGAGAAGTCGTGAATGGTTTTGAAGACGACCATTAAAATCAAACATGCAGACCTTGTTTGGTTTAACTCTCAAAACACAAATTTTGAAAAACAATTCCAAAATTTTGTTGGGTTAGAAATTTTTTGAAATTTTTTTCCAAAATCACTTTTTCTCTCCTACACATTAATCAATCACTTTTTCTCTCTCATCTCTCCTTCTCAATCACTTTTTCTCTCATACACATCTACTCAGCTACAACAAAATATCAAATCATCCCAAACTCCCATACTCCAAAACTATTTCCAAAATATACAACCAAACAAACCAAAAAAATTTCTAAACTCTTCCCCCAAGATTTTTTTTTTGAAAATTTATCTCCCAAAATCAAACCAAAGACACTCGCAATGTTGGAGTTTTTCCCATGCTTCACTTCTAAGAAATAGAAACACAGTCACTTTGCTTCTTCAATTCACCAGAAACTTACATTCAATGATATATAATACATTTTTTCAGAGGAAAATTGATGTACATTGGCCAACTTCAAGAGGTGAAAAGACATCTGGGCTTATACAAAGACAAATCATTTCCCACTTCCATATATTCTTTGCAAATTTCTTTTAACCAAAAAAAGAGGGTTGAAATAAAATTTAATGGTAGACTGCACAACATAATCAAGAGATACGCATTCCTCACGTATTTGCTGTATGGTTCTCCAATAGTGACAAACCATCATTCGCAAACAACTATGTTCTGAAATGTGTTTTGGCTGCTCAAATAAATCAGTTCTTCTTTTCTCTAAGTTTATTATAATTATTCTTTTGGAAAACACGTTCACACAACCGACATATTCTGTGTTTCTTGAACTGCCAACAATTGTCTCAAACTGTCTAGCTTATAGCTTGCAATATCAGTAGCCACTAAGCAGTATGTTATCGAAACATTAATATCTATTTCCCTGCTCACATCAGCAAAGTCTGGATATGTATCAAAATGAAATGGAACATCTTCATTTTGAAATGTCTCAATTTATACACTAATAAAACACCTATAACATGCACCATATGAAATCACATAGTTGATGCTTGGTGCATTTGTAAGGTAGTATTATCTGCACTGCTTCATATACACCCCTTCTTGATAAGTTGTTTCTGTTTTTTCCTTCTTGTGCAAATTTCACAATTGTATAACAGAAACTGTTGTTGAGTTTTGACAATTCAGGTAACTGATTTAATCAAGCAATATGGTTCAGTAACAACCAAAAGTAATTATAGTATGATTAGGTTAAAAATGGTTTTATTTAAATAGTAGCAAATTTTAACATTTCTAACATTTTCAAGCATTCTAATTTTGCCTTGAAAGCATTAAATATGGAAGGAGAGGAATTCTGATGACCGATGGCCACTGCACTTCAATTTGCAGTTTCCTGAGGTTCATGTGGTCAGTCCTTAGACTCGTTACAACTTTAACTTTGACTCACATCATTGATGGAATGATTCCTCTAAAAAGCAAGCGCCAAGTGTTTTTTCAGAAATAGTTATTGAAGGTTTCATATCAAGTTTTGATTCAAAACAAGTCGAGTGTTCAACTCGACTCAATGACATTTTCAAGTCAAGTCCAAGTTTCAAATTGAAACTTTGATTTGAACGACATGAGTGCCTAAGCTAAGTAGAAAATCAGTCAAGAAACATAAAAAGATAACTAATAAGGCTGGAATATTATTTGCTTGATAAAGTACAAAATGCATTTTCATGCCTGGAATTTTTTAAGTTTCAATCATTCTAAGTTTTAATGCATCCTTAATTTGCCCTTCAGTCTTTAACCACAATTTCCCTTGAGAAAATTTACGGAGAGGGAACAAGAATAATATGAAATGCAGTCAATTGAGGTGTTATTAGATCTAACGGCCCGATAAAAGACTTCACGGATAAAGCTAATCAAGTTCATAATCAAATGTAACTACCAAAAACTATAAAAGGATAGACTTATAACAAACATCACTTGCGAATTGAGCATGGTGAAACACTCAAAACCATCTTTTATCTCGAACATTGCGATAATCAACTCTTTTGTAGAGCATGCTTTTGTCTTCCAAAATATACTTCAGAGTCTAGTTGACAAGCTATTTTCACAAACATGACAATCAAAAACAGCTTTCACTAAATTGAGAAATGAATAACAGTGGTAACAAGTTGTATTTACATTCTTGACAAGGAAAGAAAACCTTCTATGTTTCAACTAATTGGCAAACGAATGCAGATATGAGTTTCAAAAACAATCAAGACTAAATAGACAAAAATAAACTAAAAGAATCTATAACTCAAAGCAATTCTCAGTTACCTATCTCAAGAATGTTGTTCATAGCCGGAGCTCCAACTCGCAAAAATGCGGGATTTCTTAGTTCTGCAACTGTTCTGAACTACCAGGATCCATAGCTTGATCCGATTTTTGAATCCCATTAGCGCTTGTAGCCAATGCACTTCGTATAATCAAAGCCTTTTTCTCAATTGAATTCTCCACCACGCTAACATCCCTATAGTACTGAGAGCTCTGTTCATGCCTTGAATAATCAACCAACCCATCACACAAAGCTGAATAGTCCTCCCTCATAAGCAAAGCATTGTGCAATATTGAACAAGCACCAATGTAAGCCACTGCAGTCTTGAACTCCGCTTCGATCGGCTTGTTCAAAACACCCCAATTCTTCAAACTCGCAACGGTCCTAAGCGCTGACAGTCTCATCAAATGGTGTGCTTCATTGAAACTCGCTTCGCATGACCCGGGTACAGGATCAACAAATGGCACAATCAACCATGGAAGTAAAGGGTACTCTCTATCCCCAACCAAATACTGATTTACATCAACACCATTAACGGGTATTGGTGGTGAGTCTAGTAAATTCCCTCCTTCAATGTCTTTATACAATGTTGAAGACTTTAGGACTAGTGAATTGGGTTTGTTTCCCGGAAAACCAGCAACAATGCTGAGAATTCGAGACGATGAATCGACTACGATTTGTGCTGCGATGCTATCTTTGCGATTTTGATCATTTGATGATTGTTTATCAAATCCATTGTCTCGTACAATTTTGAACCTAGCACAGTCAATGACTCCACAACAATTGGGCATTCCGGTGAGAGATTCGAACTCGTTGGACACCGATTCGAGCTCGTTCGAGCTCGGAAACCCAACCCAGAATCGGAAATTCGTACAGAGGACTCGGCAGAGCTGTTTGACGCAGAACTTGGAGACTGGTTCGGAAACCTTGAATCGGCGAGCGAGTTCAGAGTAATCCGCGCCGGTGGAGAGCCGAAACAAGCCGATTCCCAGCCGAGTCTCGGCGGAGAGATTGAGGGGAGAGCTAGGTTAAAAATGGTTTTATAGCAACGGCTCGAGGAGGTCAGCGAGCCACTCGAAGCTCGAAGAACTCATCTTGAAGCAGAGCTTGAACGAGTCAGGGGCTGAGTCGACTCGTCCGAGTTGACCGAGTTCGGGACCGGGATCGTCGCCGCCGTCCGCGGGGCCGACGACGGCGGGGTCCGGGTGGTGGGTTCGCTTGCGTTTTCTGGAAATGGAGAAGAGAGAGAGAGAAGCGGCGATTTCGGAGGTGGAGAGAAAATGGTGGATGAGAGGGAAAAGGTTTCCATAGGAACTGGAATTGGAATTGGAATTGGAATTGAAATTGGTGATTGAAGGGAAGAGGAGTAGGAGAGTGATGAGGAGTTCGGAGATCAGGGTTGAGAGTAAAGCTGACAAAGCTCGAGAATCCATGGATTTTCTCTCTCTACTTTCTCGGTGTTTTTCTTTTGTCGGGAATCGGATTTCGGGATTCCCAAGAAAATCGAAATGAGCAGGGAGGAATCTGAGTGGACGAAAGGCGTAAAACGCACCTGCGCAAGTTTGTATGTTTTTGGAAGTTTCTTTAAAGACACGTGACTGAATCACAAATTTGGAAATTGGACCGTACATGTGGCAGTGTGTGGTGGGAGATCTCGATCGTGGGCCCACGTTAATCCACGGGCTTGTACTTGCTTACATCAGAACCAAGCCCAATTTTGCCGCAAGTCAATCGGCCCATCCGAGTTTTATTTATTTATATTTTAGGTAATACTAAGAGAAGTCAAATTTTAGATCCATTATTAATGATGTGGTAGGAGATTTAAATTAATATAATTGAGTATGTGATAAATTAAAAATTGACACGTGACATTATTGTGAATCAAATTGGGAGAACATTTAAACATTTTTCATAATTTATTTTTTCAATTGGTAAGAAATGGAATTATTTACAATAAAGTTATTTGGTGCAACTTATTTGAGTTGGTTATATTATTGTTTTTTATTTTGAGAGTTGACAGATTTCTTGATATAATTTATGCAATAAAGATTGGTAACTTGAATTGAGTTTGCTCGAATGACTCAAATTTTTGTTTACCGATCAATCAGCCAAACGAGTATTCAGACAACTGATGAAACACTTGTTTATCGCGATTGTCACCTTGTCGACTGTAGCTTTCAGTCTTATTGCTGGGTGATTAAGCCAAAATTCGACTCATTTGAGGTAAGATGAAACTCGAGCTACCAATCATGATTTTAGCTCGAGTTTCATCTTGCCTCAAAAGGATTGAATTTTGGCTTGCCGGTTGACCGATTGGTCATCCGTCCAGTCATTCAGAAATAAGGATGAAAGTTGCGGTCAATAAGATGACAACTGTGATAGACAATTATTGAACCAGCCATCCAGTTGGTCGTCCGGCCTATCAACCGGCAAGCACAAATTTAGGCCATTCAAATAAGTTCAACTCGGGCTACCAATCTTTACAGTTTATTAGGCAAACGTCAATTAAAGAAACTTAAATTTTTTTGATTACCTACAAATTGAGGAATAAAATGTTTTTAACTTCTTTTTTTATATATAAACTTTTAGTTTACAATAAAGTTACCCCAAACAAACCCCAGTATACCTTATTAATAAAAAGAGCAAAAAAACGAAAAAACCAAAAATAAAAAAGAAGGAAACACAAACACAATCACAAACAAAAACAAGGTCAACAACACAATAAACAGTCACTTATTAAAATTATTTTTTATTGATTTTAAAATTACTTTAACCTGTTTCTAGTTTCTAAAATTTTTTATACAATTTTTAATATAATGGTTTAATTTTTATTCTTCAAATTTTAGAACCGTAAAACCTTAGGGGTGGATTGTTTGGCGGTATAGAGTGTGGGACAGGACTCCATATCCATTGCATATGATAGTCCGACGTTTGGTTAAACAAATATAAGTTGGACTAGTTTAACCAGACTATCAATCCCTTATTTGTGAGATTATATTGTGTCCCATGGGGATGTGGAATAAAAAGGGTGGGATAATAACTCATCCTCTGGATAGAAAGGTTAAAATGACATTTTTACCCTTATTTTTTGCCTTCAATTTTTTATTTATATTATTTTAAATTATACTTGGTAAAGTAAAATAAAATTTAAAAATTTGAACTAAAAATTAAATTAAATTAACAGTCGAATGGATTATAATCCGCCTTTACAAGTTCAATTTATTTAATTAAAAATAAAATTAAAAGTTCAATTATTTAAAATAAAATAATCTCAACTAAAAATTAAAATAAATTTATATAATTTTTATTGATGTTCTATTTATTTAATTTTTTAAATGTTTTAGTAAAAAATTAAATAAAATATGATACACATCGGATTTAATTGAATAGTCTAATCTAAACATCTAATCTCATGACTATAAACAAACATATATGATATAAATCCAGTCCAATTAAATAGTCGAGAGACAATATATTCCAAGACTAACAGTCCAATAAATTATAATCATTCTTATCCAATCCGTCCAAATAAACACACCCTTATTAGATCTTAATTTATCTCGAAACTAAGGCTCAATTTGGGATGTTGGTTATAAGTGGCGTTTTGGCTTTTTGCCAAAACGCAAAAATTGACTTTTTTTTACCATAAATTGATTTGGGATGTTGGTTATAAGCCAAAAGAGAAATTACGAAATTACCCTCCATAGATGGAAAATGAAAGGGTAAAAATGTGTAATTTTTCAATTGGCTAGGGATACTTTGGTCATTTCATTATGATTTGACATTATAAATAAATATTAATGAAAAAAGTCAAAAGTCACTTTTTATCAACTTTCCAAATCATTTGTCTAAAAAAGCCAAAAGCTTGGTTAAAAATCAAAAAGTCACTTTTTACCATCTTCCCAAAATAAGCCTAAATCAAATCAGGCCATCAACCCCTAGCTGTATTGTCCATATCCAGTTAATTTGACTATGGAATTTCCAAATTTCCCTTTTATGAGGTGTGCCGTGACCTCTCCAAACTAAGACAATAAATAAAATAAGAGCATCATTATATAAGTCCAAAAATTATATATAATTTTCAAATCTAGTGATTTGATAATTAATTGAGATATTTAAGGTAATATTCTGTCTCATATCTTCTTTAATCATTAATCAATTATATCACTTACACATCGTTTGATCTAAAAAATAATTTTAAAAAATAGACTTATATATCATTTTTCATAAAATAAAGGTCTTATTATTTTATTTATTTATTTATTTATTTATTTTTTATTTTTTTAAGTTAGGAGAGGATGGGAATCTGGGATCCATCTAGTCCATTAGGCTCACTATAGCCTTCACTTTGATAATTTTATTTGTTCCTCTTTTAGGTTGTTGCGTGTAAAAAAAATTAAACAATATATACAAAAATTAAATTAAATCAATAGTTGTAATTTTATGATTTAATTATATTTATCTTTAAATAAGTATCATTAATGATATATATGCTAAGATTTAGAAAATAAATGGCTCAATTATTAAAATATGATCCATGACAAATTTACAATGTTCAGACCAAATAGAATATGTTAGCTTATTTTGTAAGTATCTTCATGGGTTGGGTAATTTTGACCAAATAAACAAATTGAAAATGCAAAGGAGGGGTAGTGGTGGAGAAAAAATAAAGTCTCTTCCTTGTTTGTTTGGAGAAAATATTTATATGGAATATAATCTTTCATGAGAAACATAACACTTCTGTTAAGAAAAAACCATTAAGGATAATGGTGATACTGTTATTTGTAATGTTATACGAGAATAAAAAGTCACACATAGATTTATAGTCAAGTTTTGTGATATTTATTACAAATTAATGTTGTTGTGGACTTTATTACAGATCAAAACTATTTATTAAATGATAAAATTATTACGTCAGTATTATATCATTATATGTAATATACAAGATCAAATCATTGCAAATCTTACCATCTAATTGCCTTAATGGGATAATGGTGCCATATATTCAAAATTGAAAATCCACTAATGGAAGTAATATTTTATTGTTTTGTCATTTGTGTTTGTAAGGCTATCTCCTACGGTTTATCAAATCTTGTATCAGATTTGAAATTTAGTGAAAAAGGCACTTTTTGAAACTTCAATGGTTTCAACAAATTGGTATCAAATTGAGAAAATATTAAAGATTTCACCAAACTGAGGACGGCTTGCTCCTTTCACCAATTCACTGTGCATAGCCGTTAAAGTAGAAATTTGTGAAAATTTTACACTAAGTGGTCGACCACTTGGTCGACCCCCTGGTTGACCACCAGGTTAACCAACTGGTCGACCGGCTCATGCAAAAATTGGCCTGTGAACTGGTTCAAATGGTTTAAATTACTGGTTCAAACGGTTCAAAAAAAATTTATAAAAAAAAAATTAACCTTACCGGTTGACCGGCCGGTCAACCAACCGGTCGACCACTTCCCTTTTGATGCATGGTTGGAGCAAGTCATACCAGATTGAGAAAATTAGTCTTTTTTTACTCAAATTTAGGCCTCGTTTGGGAACATGCTAATTTAGTAACTTTTTGGCTATTTGGCTAAAAAGGTAGGTAAAAAAAACTTGTATGTTTGGAATGACTTTTTGGCTAATTACGAAAAGATGTGCAAAAAGTAGAGAGAAAAGAGAATCTTTAACTTTTTGGTATGGGTTGTTGACTTAGCCTCTGTTTGGCAAGATGGTTCTCAGGCTTTTTTGGCTATTTTAGCCACAAAAAACAAAATAGGCTATTTTAGCCATAACAAACAAAACATCACATCCAACCTATAATCATTACATTCTTCTCTCACAAAAAAAGTCAAAAAAGCCAAAAAGTCAAAAAAGTCCTTCCCAAACCAAGCTTTTTAGCCCAGGCTAAAATAGCCAAAAAAAGCCAAAAAGCCAAAAAGCCAACCTACTTCCCAAACCAAGCCTTATTGACTAATTTAGTAACTTTTTGACTAATTGATTAAAATAGTCTTTTACCAAACGAGGCCTTAAGTGAAAAATTTAGTTAACCATTAAAGATGCTCTGAGATATTTAGGTCACGTAAGCAATTTCGTATACTGTTTGTGATATGACATATCCATGATTATGAGGCCATTGACCATGAGCTATATGGTGAACATTTATATCATATTAGTAATAAATTCAAAAACGTGCCAAAAATTAAAATTTTAAAAATCATTTAAAAAGGGAAACTAATCAGATGGCACAGAAATTAAACACAAGGGTGAAAATTTGGGTCATACATAAGAAATTCTATTCAGCCTTCGTTTGGAAAGTGGGTTGGCTTTTTAACTTTCGACAATGTTACGTAACTCAAATTTTGTGGCTTAAAAGTGACTCAAATGGCCAAAACGACGTAGTTTTGAGTACAGAACAACATAAAAATGGCCAAAACGACGTCGTTTT